GTTTTCCCGCCAAAAAGTTGAATTGTTGAAAAACGCGTCAAAATATACTGTAATTTGTCATAATCTTTTTCTTAAGCTAAATGGCCACAATCCGTTTCTTTACTCCTTCATAGATTATTTAGACGTTATTAGTATTTACATGTGGCGAGTGTTGCCAAAAGAACCGAGTCCCGCTTGTGAAGCACCTTTATTGTAACCCATTTGTAGGTTCAGTTCAGCGTTATGTGCCCTCAATTGCTCTTCAGTGAATGTACGTTCATTCTTTTCTGCCATCTTGGGTCCAAGTTGAGGTCCAGTCCATTCTGGGTGCTTCTGAGTCTACATTAAAGAAAAATATACTTAAAGCAAATGTATTTTAGATCATATTGTTTTGATGTGCCAAGTGCACACTTTCCTTGTTTACTGTTTTGTTATTGTAATTTGCTTATTAGCATTTGTGGTAGCGTAAAGAATCTATTAAACCATATCATCCCGTGGGTGTCCTAAGAGGCGAAAGAGGAAAAAGAAACAGAAAATGGGCAGCAACATCTTTCTGATAATTACTAATTCTATTATATTCTATTTTCTCTTCGCTGTGGAGAGGAGGTCTATTTTCTATGTGTTTTCAATATTAAATAATTTTTATTCAATATTAAAAAGGATCAATTTCAATATTAAAAAGGAGGTCTATTTTCAACAATAGATTTTTTATAACTTGTAATGAGTATTTCTTCATTGTTCTATAGCATTTAAAAAATATTCGACCCTATAGTTTCTTGGCTTTTCCTTCATTGTAAAGAGGTGGAACTTGATATTCAAACCGGTAGTACGTTGGTATATTTTAAATTTTATAAAAACTTGAAACAAATCTAATCTGAATAAGAAAGAAATTTTGACTTCTGATTCAAATAATTGTGTAACTTAACACAAGCAAATCATAACAGACTGGCTGGCTGATATAATTTTTGATTGATATCAATGATATTTTAAGTACTTACAATTCTTCCCAATGCATATAAACATAAAGTAACTTGTGGAATGTTGCGCCTCTCGAAGAGGTCAGCCGTCTGGAAAATTTCTTCCTCCGGCACTCCATACTTCTTAATGGCGGCCTGGAATCTGAAATAGGTATTTAAAAATAAACGATCAAACATTGAGTTATCGAGTGGTCTTAAAATAAACAGTGTTTAGAGGGCTTATGATAAAAATATCAATAAACTATTTATTTAGAGTTGTAGAGAGAGATATACCTTTGAATATTTTCCATTAGCTGAAAGTTAGTTCCCTTTTCTTGGATCTTCTTCACCGAACCCGGAGACAACTTGTTGATTAGCTTGCAAAGTACGACACCATTTTTAAGAATGTCTTCATATTCGCCATTAGGTAAAGGTTCCCCCAACACCTGACTGATCCAAGTTAGGACTTCCTGTTCTTGTTCCTTGTTTCTGGCCTGCAAAAGTCATATTTACGTTCGTAATTCCAAATAAAACATATTTTTGAACCTAAGCCATAAAATATCGGTTCCAGTGCCAAGAAGTTTCCGTTTAGTGGCAAAGCGGGCATACTCCAGCATCATCTCCGAAAATAACGCAAACATACGATTGTAATCTCGCAGAGATTTCTTTGGAACGCATTTGAGATTAAAGGACGCTCATAAACGCAGCTGCGCCGGCGCATTAATCCATTAAATCTTGTAGCACTGACGTCAAAACTTATCTCCTCAAAAACTACTTTGCAACAAACTTTTTAATATTGAAACCACATAGAAGATAGGTTTATTAATTACCATGTCAATAACGTGTTATGGTACAGGGAACAGTTAAATTGTGAGTAAAATAAATGATGTTATTTCGATTAATTAGTCCTGATTAATCAAAAAAAAAAAATAAGAATAATAAATACAAGTCAACGTACAGGCATTGTTGTAAATATGTGAACGTGAAGTTCGAATCGCACTAATAGACCAGTTTCCGCGATGATATCTCTAAGAAGACTGCGGTGGATCCCGCCCGCCCAACCAGGCGGCGTTGGTGGAGGTGGGCGACGTCACATAGCCTATTTTATGTATTTTCCAAGCACATACATCAACATACTATAGATGCACGTCAGTGCGTGACGCAATCTTTATAACACCGGATTTCTTTCAAAATTCAAAACAAGATCAGTTTTAATCATTGCAGAACAGGAAGGTCTTTAATTAGAAAATTCTTATACAAACCTAATTTGCACTTTGAAATTCAAACCTTCTTCAAACATATTAAGAGTTTCCTTTCATTAAAAAAATAATTCCAATAGCTAGTTTTAAATTAATTTGTTGATATAAGGTTTAGTTAAATCTACAGTCTCAGTGAAAGACCATTTATGAAATTGTTGTCTGTCTGTGTAAATATTAATGAATGAGCCGATTGTGATGAATTCACAAGCAGATAGAGAGCAACTCCAAGAATGATCTAAGCTATATTTTATCACAAAAATTTGGAGATATGTTTTTCGTGAAATGCAAATATTTATAAAATAAGTAGTCATAGATGATGACCTTTAATCATAAACGATACCATATTTATAGATCCCACCCAGGCGAAGTCATAGTGGGTCGCTGCTAAGTTACTGATAAAGATGAGTTTTTATAACAACAAATAACACAAGAGTAACAAATAAGCTAACAGTTCACTTTCCATAAGTTCCTTCTGTATATGGTCATCGACACCACTAGCGTCAAACAGAGAAAGCGAAAGGTGCATTGTCAACCTTAGGTACTGAATCAGAATACCTAGTACTGGCTCCCCTAACAAATCAAAACAGATCACTGAGTAAATTACTGCTTACCAATTGAAGTAGACAAGACGATAGTACTTACTCAGAAGGAACCCTAGAAAAAAAAGGCTCTTTTAACTTAGTGATATAATATGAAATAGAATTGTCTTAACTAAAATTATAATGTATACATCCATCACTGTGACTATTTGATTAATTTTTATCTACCGACACGTGCCAAAGTTCTTTCCGTGCCATCAAATTAACGATTAATGATTTCAAGCTTGAGTTAATAGGATTTGCCCAATGTTGTTCATCTGTCATCAAATCTTGGCTTGGTAGACATACATGGACTTTCGGGTTGCTAAATGATGTTAAGTAAGGGGGATATCCTTAGCGCCTTAGAAATTATTTTTATTAATAATATTAATGGAAAATATTACATTCACAAACGTACAGAAAATGCTAAATATATTATGTTTAAAAATTATCGCCAGCGCATGTTCTAGAATCTTATTATTGCAGTGCGCACAGATTTTATCACCGCTATTTTTACGATGTGTACGTCTTCCGATTTAATGTTTAATGGAACTGTTTCCGGCGCCTATGATCACAGATTACAGATAAAAAATAATATTTATGATTTTTTTAAATAAAATTAATGAATTTGCGTTATTTCGTAAGATATATTGATTTAATGTAATTTTTAATTTTGTGCCTGAATGTACTTTATACAAAAAAGTTTTAATCTGCATATGAAGTTGATGATTTCCTGGCTGATTTCCAGACAGGCGACAATAAGTAGACGCTAATATATGTATATATATACAGGAGATATTTCCACAATGTAACAATTGTAAGATACGATCGGAAAATTTGTGTTTTTTACAAATCAAATTCAATCGGCGGTGAAAGATAACATCGTGAAAAATGTGGTAGAACCACGCTTCGAAGCTATCGAGAAGAGCAGCAAAATCTTCCTCAACCTCTTTACTGTGTCAGACGTTGGTTGGTTTAGAAACAGCCAAACCATCAATTGTTTTATCTTACTAACTTACTTGTAACCTGTAATAAAGTCATATACAGGACGAGACGAGCCTGCTAGAAGTCTAAGAATCATATCGTAGCATCATTTCACACGGGCCCGCTTCTGAGCACCGGTGAGGTTATGTGGAACCCAACGCGAAACCATCCTCCACCACCATCATGCTTAGGTGTTCGTAAAATCTCGTCAACCCTCCCCTATCCAATCTGCAATATATGTATTCGTAATTTACCGATTTTTATGCTAGCACGTTTCCTTCCGCAAGAGCTGTCAAAGGGCGACCACTTCTTCACACATTTTGCGTGACCTGTCGTATACGTGGTACAGCTGAAATGGGTTGGCTGGACAGGGGGATGATTACGATCTTACGGAATAATAGGTCAAAATACCAGAAATATGCTGCTGTGTTTCTTATTGAGTAAAGGGAACCGGACACCCTTTCTATTAGTAAAATGCCATTCCATCTTAGTCTTCAGGAGTACAAAGCTTCTAAATTTTGCTTCTTAATCAATAAGTATAGATATATTAGTGTTTTAACACAGTTAAACTTTTTTCGTCAAATAAATAAAACTTTGCACGTTTGTCATTCTAACTAATATAAAAAAATTTGACGTTGTGGTGCAACGACCGTAAAACCTCACAGTGTTTCACGAATAACCTTTTTATGTATCCAATTTATCAAATATTATTTTCGGACGTCTTAGAAAGACGTATTTAATCTGAATTTTACTTTCAATATTTGTTGAGAAATTTTGATTTATTTCAACTGGTGTCAAATCACGGTGATAAAAAATATTAAATGATTTCAATGGTAAACTGTTTGTGGTTTTAACTAAATTATGTTATGTTATTTCAATTTTATATCATTTGATATTATAAAATTACCTAATATCATTACAAACAGCCAAAATCATAGACATCTAATCTCAAATCATCAGTGATGCCACCGATGTTTTAGGTCAGATGTTTTATAAATTTCAACTTTTCATCAACACCCTTCGTACGTCTTTTAGTCCATGAAATAAATAAATAACGCCTTTTAACTGCTTGTGTAAACATACGAAATTTAAATACGCTCTATGATGTAATGTGTTCTCAACGAACGAACATCTTGGTATTGTATAATTACAATCTCGATTGGCACGCGTCCAAACTGAAAACGGAATCCGTTGCGCCACGTGTCAGAAAATACCCAGCTATATAATTTTTATAACGTGTTCCGATGGAAAAAACATATAAAGCTTTTTTATTCGAAGTAAACAACCTAAATGTACTCTTAAAGAGTAATATCTAATAAAAAAATTAAGCATTTTTTCACCGAATTCACTAGGGAAAAAATATAGCGTTTCCTTCTGTTTTTTTAATAAAAGTAGGATGACAAATAAACTTACAGTCCACTTAATGGTGAAAAAAAAGTGGCTACTGTTGCTCATGGACACCTGCAGCCAATTTCAGGAAAGGAGGCTACGGAAGCGTCGTCATCTCTGAGGACTAATATGAACTGCCTCACAACCAATAATTATACTTATTACCCTTCAGAAGTGAACACAGTTGTGCACGCACTAATATTTGACGGCAGAAATAGATAAGTATGTAATAAAGTGTGTAAAAAAGTGTGTAATAAAGTAAAGTAACCTGCCCAGACGGACCCACCTAGAAAAACTCGTGCGTCAGTGTTTAGTTCCTAACTAGTGTTGCCCAAATGCAAGAAAAAGAAGAGACGTAGCCAGTCTTGGTCTTGGTCTTGCAAAAATGCAAGAACAAGACCAAGACTGAAAGACTAAGACCGATTTTGGGCAACACTATTCCTAACTAATATTATTTTATATCATCACAGTCTCTTGCTACAACAACAACAAATCATGCAACGATCATTTCCTATCGTAACTGGCCATAAGTCCGTAACCACAATATAGGTATTTTTTACTAAAATACAGTCTTCTAAAATACACACTTCAATATAAATAAAGTGAGAACATCATCAATGTATTCGAAGTCAATTAAATACGCATTATTAAGGATAACTCAAAAACTACTGGTCAGATCTTGATTAAATTTAATTTTTTTTAATAACATAAGGATGACAAACGACACAGTCCACCTGATGGTAAGTGGTTACTGTGGTCCATAGACATCTACATTTATCCTCGATTACGAATCAAAATGCAAGTTTTCTGGAAACGAGGCATTACATCTTAGTCCTCATGAGGAGGAGTCACGCGTGAGGACTAAGATGTAATGCCTTATTTCCAGAAAAAAGGGTCTCCGGTTCTCTACACTTGCCATACGAAACAGAGTAGCGTTAAGGACGCGTTTGCAAATCAACCAAAATTAGGGTGTTTTTCGGTAGATTTTGTGACAAAACTAAACCAAATCAAATATAAGTAAAAACTACCATGTATAGATTGGTTCTTCATCTGCAAATGTCTGTAATTCTTTTGTTGAAAATAGTAGTTTTTTATATTGTAAAAACGAACTTTCGTTGCCATTTTCTACAAAATTAACGATACCGGCTTGTGTTTCGGTAGATGTTTTGGTCTATTATCAACATATTTAAAAATTTAAAAAATACTATAAGATGACAGACATATTCAATTAAAAAACCCTGGGTTTATTTTTTAACAAAATGTCACAAATAGTCGTAAAAAAAATAAAAACTGATGCACATTTTTTCACATATTTTGGTAATATGGATGAATCATAATGTATTGCAATAAGGGCTATTTTATTGTTGGTGCCTGCTTTGATTTATTGTACAAAGATTTCGATGAAACCACAGTCCGCGCTCGGTCGCCGTCGTGAGTGGACACTGTATCGCCTGTTTGCAGCGGCTCATTCTGAAAAGATCGCTGTACATACACAAAATATTAGAAAAAAACAAATTGGAAACATAAGTACTTGACAAGTGATAAAATTATTATTTTTATACTCACAGTTTTTATTTAGCTAAAAATAAGTAGGATATATAAACTTACCTACTACTGCAACTCGTGGACGAGCGGAACTAGGTGTGCCGAGTTTGGGCTCGTTTTGTTGGTTATGATGAGACCTTACCTCTGGACTTGATGGCATGACCTGAAGGTGTACTTTCGTGACCGCTATTTGAACTTCTTGCAGAGTAAAACTAGGGGTGACGAATTTGGGCTCCGTTTTGTTAGTTATGACGAGTCTATACCTCTGGACTTGATGGAGTGACCTGAAGGTCTAAATCGGTGATTGCAACTGGAACTCCTAGACTGGTAGAACTAGGTGTGCCGAGTTTGGGTTCGTTTTGTTAGTTACGATGAGACCTTACCACCGGACTTGATAGAGTGACCTGAAGGGGTAATTCAGTAACTACTGCTGGAATTTCTGAACGAGTAGAACTAGGTGTGCCGAATTTGGGCTTCGTTTTGTTAGTTATGACGAGTCCATACCTCCGGACTTGATGGAGTGACCTGAAGGTGTAGTTCAGTGATTACAAGTGGAACTCCTAGACTTGTAGAACTAGGTGTGCCGAGTTTGGGTTCGTTTTGTTAGTTACGATGAGACCTTACCACCGGACTTGATTGAGTGACCTGAAGGTGTAATCAGGTGGTTACAAATGGAATTCCTAGACCAGTAGAACTAGGTGTGACGAGTTTGGGTTCGTTTTGTTAGTTACGATGAGACCTTACCACCGGACTTGATAGAGTGACCTGAAGGGGTAATTCAGTAACTACTGCTGGAATTTCTGAACGAGTAGAACTAGGTGTGCCGAATTTGGGCTTCGTTTTGTTAGTTATGACGAGTCCATACCTCCGGACTTGATGGAGTGACCTGAAGGTGTAGTTCAGTGATTACAAGTGGAACTCCTAGACTTGTAGAACTAGGTGTGCCGAGTTTGGGTTCGTTTTGTTAGTTACGATGAGACCTTACCACCGGACTTGATTGAGTGACCTGAAGGTGTAATCAGGTGGTTACAAATGGAATTCCTAGACTAGTAGAACTAGGTGTGACGAGTTTGGTTTCGTTTTGTTAGTTACGATAAGACCTTACCACCGGACTTGATGGAGTGAAATTCGGCACACCTAGTTCTACTGGTTCAGAAATTCCAGCAGTAGTTACTGAATTACCCCTTCAGGTCACTCCATCAAGTCTGGTGGTAAGGTCTCATCATAACTAACAAAACGAACCCAAACTCGGCACACCTAGTCCTACAAGTCTAGAAGTTCCACTTGTAATCACTGAACTATACCTTCAGGTCACTCCATCATGTCCGGTGGTAAGGTCTCATCATAACCTACAAAACGAACCCAAACTCGGCACACCTAGTTCCACCAGTCTAGGAGTTCCAGTTGCAATCACCGATTTACACCTTCAGGTCACTCCATCAAGTCCGGAGGTGTGGACTCGTCATAACTAACAAAACGGAGCCCAAATTCGGCACATCTAGTTCTACTCGTTCAGAAATTCCAGCAGTAGTTACTGAATTACCCCTTCAGGTCACTCCATCAAGTCTGGTGGTAAGGTCTCATCATAACTAACAAAACGAACCCAAACTCGGCACACCTAGTTCTACTAGTCTAGGAGTTCCACTTGTAATCACCGAATTACACCTTCAGGTCACTCCATCAAGTCCGGTGGTAAGGTCTCATCATAACCAACAAAACGAACCCAAACTCGGCACACCTAGTTCCACTAGTCTAGGAGTTCCTATTGTTGTAATCACCAAATTACACCTTCAGGTCACTCCATCAAGTCCGCAGGTAGGTAAGGTCTTATTATAACTGACAAAACCAGTTCAAAGTCCAGAGCTAACATCTCACTACCAGTAGAGGGCTTCCAGTGCCAAGCAGTCTTTGGAGCAGGTATTCATATTTCGTATCGAAGTATATTTCTGAGGTAGGTATAAGAAATGAAAAACAAATTCAATCTTTCAAATTATCAAAATAATTTCATTTGACTACGATTCCCACAGCCAACCGTGCGTACACTAGTGTGTGTGTGACTTTTGTCAATGTAGTAGTGCGATTCTATACCTATCCATTTTGTAAACGCGTCCTTAAGCTGCGATTTTACGCTGGTACTCTGTGAGAGTGTGGTCCTCCCCCGGTCGAACCATACTACTAATATAGCTGTAGCATGGCTCTACCACGTATATGTATATGTATATATATATATATATATATATATATATATATATATATATATATATACGAAAGGGGGCAAACGAGCATACAGCTTACCTGGTGTTAAGTGACTACCGCTACCCATGAACAGCTTCAACACCGGAGGAATTGCAGGTGCGTTGCCAGCCTTTTAGAAAAAAAAGCTCTTTTCTTGAAGGTCCCTAGGTCGTATCGGTCTGGAAAAATGACTGATGGTATACTACTCCACAGAGAGGTTGTACGCGGAAGAAAACTCCCAGCGAAACGTACAGTGGTGGACCGCCAAGCATCCAGATGGTGTAGATGGTATCGGGAGTTTTGCGATGTGCGTTCATGAAATTTACTAATGAATTGAGCCGATCGGAAAGCATTCGGTAATTGACGATTCGAACCGCTCTGCGCTGGATGCGGTCAAGTGGAAGGAGCTGGTACTGAGGAGCGCAAGCCCAGTGGTGGGAACAGTATTCCATGTGAGGCCAAACCTGCGCCATGTAAAGTTACAGGCCGTGTGCCGTCATGAAATACTGTCCCGCTCTGCTGATCACGCCAAGCTTTTTAGAGGCCAATTTGGCCTTCTCTTCCAAGTGACCACGAAACTGCACGCCACTCTATATGTCGCTGCCGAAACAAGGAGATACGAGAAGGGGATCTTTTAAGCGGTAAACGTGCAAACTTGTGTCTTCTGAGGGTTAACTGGACTAGATTTAGTCGCCCCCAATCTGAGACTTTGTTCAGCGAAGACTCGACCTCAGACACAAGTTTGTTCCGGTACTCGGAGATATATTGGCACGAAAAATATGCCGAGAAATATTGGCACGGCCGGTGGATAGAGCATCACCAGTGCTGTCATCCGCGTAGCAATGAATTTTACCGGCTTGCAACATATCATTGATACAAGTATGCAGAAGAAACAGCGTTGGCACGCAGTCTTATGGAATGCCAGCATTAATAGGCTTGTAATCGGAGCATGCACCGTCTACAACAACCTTGATGCTCCGTCCTGCAAGAAAACTGGTGATCCAATTGCACAATCTCTCGGGAAGCCGATAGGTAGAGAGGTTTGAAAGAAACGCTTTGTGCCAACGCCGATCGAAGGCCTTCGCAATGTCCAAACTTACGACCAATGCCTCCCCCTTGGACTCTACTGCCTCCGCCCATTTATGAGTCAGGTAGACCAAAAGACCACCACCATGTGCCTGCTGTACTACAATATGTCAGAGGTGTTACAGAAAAGATTAGCTACATCTTGGAGCGAGCTTCTATTAGAATATTCTACAAGCCGCCGAAGAAGATTAGTCAGTTCTTATCATCCGTCAAGTTTCCTATTCCTCTACAAGATGCAGGAGTGTACAAGCTTAATTGTAAATATGGTATCTCATACATATGGCAAACAAAAAGATCAGTTAGAACCCGCGTAAAAAAGACATATACCTAGCTGACGTGAAGCATCAACGTTCCGGGGAGTCTGCAGTTTGTGATCATATAGATGGTCCCAGCCATTACATCGGATTTGATCGAGCACAAATCCTTGCGAAAGAACATCGATTCCTACCAAAGATGATACGTGAGGCTATTGAAATTTAAAAAAAACATCCCAATTTAAAAGATAAAGAGACCGGGTATTACCACATGCTTAGAACCCTGGAATGAATAAAATTAAAATTAAACCCAAGCACACCACTGCAAGACTTCAAGACACAGTACGTTCATTCTCCGTAGATCGGACCATAAATAATAATTTAAAATCTGAAGGTACTCCGGGTTAACACTGACATTGGGACGTCAGTCACCTCAGTCCCCCATGACCATGGATGCTGGAAAGCACCTGAAACGTCGGGAATTAAAAATGAAACAAATTAAACGCGATAGAATCAGTAAAAGTAGTTTTAATCAGTGTAGTGTTAACATAAGAAATCATTTCATGTTCATTTGCTTGCTTTCATCGTTAATCAACAAAACACAAATAATTTTAATGAAGGAAAACATAAGATAATCATAAATACACTATAAATATGCAATAACTAACATTGACCTCACAACCGGCTTGCATATTATCATTTTCCGTAGATGGTTATTACTCATCCCAGGGTTATCTGCGTTGTTCAGTGAAGCCAAGGGCAAGGGTAAAAATTTACATTAACACTTAATTTATGGCTATATATGTTATAGTACAAAAGTATCCTGCAATTTCTGGACAAAAAATTAACCACTGACGTACACACTACAAGAGCAACTACATTAAAACAAGTATGTCCAATGGCATACTTATTTTTAAAGTATAGCACAATATCCATCGTGTTTATTGTCAAAATTAGCATTCCTCAAATTATGGCGATCACGAATGTACTGACATTCATAATATAACTATGATGTACTAATTTATTTAAGGTGATGTGGGCGCCAAAAGCAAATTTTTCACCCTTGAAAAGTGAAATTTTTGTCATTAACATTAAAACTACGAATTCACATTTCCTATAAATTCATTATGAAAGTTAGATTTTTTTAAGTGAATTATGGTAGCCAAAACACGATAGACGCATTTTGCCCCGATAGAAAAAGATCGCAAAGTTTCCTCAAAATCTACAGTTTAAGGTACGTCCACTAAGTGAAAAAGCAGTTTCATTCGAATGTAATGAAATCAATTTCAATTAAATTTAAGCTATGTGTTCACCAGTAAATACGTGAGTGAATTATGGGTTTATTTTTCAATAAAAGAGTATATATCATTTTAAAAAGATATATCAAATAAATATTGTGCAATTAAATAGCGCGCGGGCGGACCAAACAGTCCACATAAAGCGTTAAAAATCTGCTTTTGGCTCCCACTTCACCTTAATGCTCGTGGATGATGATTAAGCGGTTCATCATGTTTTACTTTAGAGAATTGTAAAGTATGAATCTCTCTCTCTCTCTCTCTCTCTTCCTCCCGGTCATTGCCACTACCATTAATAAAATTAGTAAACCAGGTAAATAGTAGACGTATTAGGTAAATAGTAGGTGTACTGTGGTGTACTGTCGTAAACAACTCCTACCACTTTGATTGGTTCACGACAAATCGACAGTACACACTTTTTATGCTTATTCGGAGTAGTTAACAAATAAAAATAATGTTAATGGCATTGCTAGTGGACCATGGAAGTGTCAGTAAAATAATCGATAATCAATCTAATACAATATGCGAAAAATCTGGGTTTAAGTATATTGAACAAATTCTTACATTAGTTGATTCAAAAATTTACGATCAATTTTACTTACATGTAACAGTTAATAGCTTGAAATTAACAACAAAATTGAACTTTTTATCCTTCACAGTAACAAAGAACAATGCTTTGGCAAATAGAAAAATAAAAAAATTAAAATGAGTGGATGCGTGTTATAAATGAAGTATATACACATTAGCCCTAAAACAATCATTATTTGAATAAAAATCACACAAGACTGTGCGATGTAAGAGCTACCTTACAATACTGTAAAGAACTTATAATGAAAATTTCATTTAAATGTCTGGCTATTTATATTGTCCTCGTCGTTATATAAATGCTTATGAATTTATTAATTTTAACACAATGGTTCATGCAAATCGCAAAATAAATATGTCAGGCCTTTTTAATTCTAAACAATAAATCTGTCCATTATGTACTGTTTACATACACAGCAATTACATTTTATGTATTTTTTACTTTTTGTCAGGAAGAGTTTAACTACTTCTTTTATAATAAAAAGTAGTATTGAAATGCAAAATTTGACTCAGTAGTTGACTGAGAGTGAAAAATAACATATCACATATAGTCGAAAAAAGGATTACTGCATTTTTACTGTTTATTTTTACTTTTATCGTAAATTATGTTGATGTAGAAATAATGTTTCATTACAGTGCGCCGGTAAACGTGAACCTGAGAAAGAACTAGAAGCTCAGAGATGGATTGAAGCAGTCATCGGTGAAAAGTTCCCTTCAGACCTTCCCTACGAGTTAGCTCTTCGCGATGGCATCATACTCTGCAAGTTGATGAACAGGCTTCAACCCGGTATCATCACCAAAGTTAACGTTTCGGGTGGCGATTACAAGTTCATGGACAATATTAATCAGTAAGTTTGAACCGCAGTAGAACTAGACTAACCGACATAGCCCAACGGATTAGTAAGCTGAAGTGGCATAGGGCCGGCCATATAGCTCGAAGAACCAAGGAAAGCAGAAAGGAAGCAAGGTTTTCGAGTGGCAGCCTCGTACCTGTAGGCGAGGCGTGTGGCCTCCCACTACATGGAGTGACGACCTTGTAAGACGTGCAGGAAGTCGATGGATGCAGGAGGCTTAGGAACGTGCTTTGTGGTATTCTTGGGGAGGCATATGTTCAGCAGTGGACTTGTGAAAGGCTGTAATGATGATGATGATAAAGTATGAATATATTATATAGTAGGTTCAACTTTTTCTTTATCTTTAAACAAGTTGGATCTGTTTTTATTCAAGATAAAATATATATTTCTGACATTTCCATAGTACGGTCAAAGATATAATTATAAATATATTAAGTATTAATATCAAATCAATGGTACCGACGATGGGATCGTCTACGTTACTTCAAGCAACACAAATTTTAATTATTTTAAATACTGGCTGGTAGAATTTTCTTTTTTCCTGGGAAGTCAGTCTAGATATATGCAACTTACCTGTTCCTGATGCCCATAAGCAGCGCTTGCATCGCAGTCTTCCAGTCTGAGGGGTATAGAGAGCCAGCATTATTACGGACTGTGAGGCATTCCCTCTTAGTTCTCAGAGGTGACGACGCATCTGCTCTTCTCTGTTTGATGTCTGCAGGTGTCCATGAACTGCAGTAGCTGCTAACCATCAGGTGGACTGTAAGTTTGTTGGTCAATTTAGTTTTATTAAAAAAAATGCTTCATAATAATAACATACAAATGCATACACAGAGACACTCACTACTTGAAATATTGTATTGTGTCAGAAACAAATCATACAAATCGTCCTAAAAGTTTCAAAATGAAAAAAACTATCACACATAGTGTCATGCGATCAATGGATATTTCTTGAAATCGGTTAGGATTCAACTAATTTTAAACAAAGGTTTGGAATATATGTGGTTCTAATGACAAACGAGTTAACAGTTCACCTCGTGGTAAGTGGCCTCTGCAGCCCATAGATACCTGCAACCAACTTTCAACAAAGAAGGCTTCAAATGCGTTCTTACTAGGAGAGGGGGGGGCAAGAAACGTACTTATGTTTTTTTTAAACAAAATATACGTAGTATAAATTGTACGCCATAAATGGCAAAACATGTAGCTCGTTTTAAGTTTTTAACACCTGTATTTTTTACTCATGTTTTACAAAAAAATATCTATAAAAGGGTTACGTTTACAAATGTGCAAGTTACCTACCATAAATAACTCTTTGTTTCCAAAAAATAATTCTTTAAATACTGAATTACTTATCTCTTTGTCTTTCTCTAATAAAGGCGTAAAAAGTATACAAATTATCTTTTTCAGGTTTCAAAAAGCATGCGTTAAATATGGTGTACCAGACGTTGACCTGTTCCAAACAACTGACCTCTGGGACCAGAAGAACATTGCTCTCGTGACTCAAACAATCTTCGCTATTGGCAGAACGGTAATGGCTTGTGTCTACCTTTTGTATAAAAATACCGCCATAAATGCATATCAACTGTATACATTTCTATTGTTCTCTTAATAAGGAGTTGTGAATGCATTGAACACAGGCGAAATAGGTTTTCTACTTAAAAAATAAATTATTATTTCGGTATAAATGCGTGGAACGCAATAGAAGGAGTCTTAGACTCTTAAAAATTATAAATCTACGAGTACGTTTGAATAACGTATTTCTCAATAATTATACGATACACTTTGACGGTCCTGCCTCAAGTCGCCCGCGAAATTTTATTAATTACCTTCTTACGTTTACTGTCTGCATATTTTATTAAAGTGTTTTGGTGGAAAACCGCCCTAAGAGATCGAGGGACTGGACATTGGGTTCTCCGTTCTCCCGTTTCTCCACTACAGTGTTTTAAATACTTATCGATATTATTTTTCTTCCCGTCTAGTGGCGGGTAAGAATACCCACTATCCCATATCTTCCCGTGGGTGTCGTAAGAACTGACAGAGGGAAACTGAGACAGAAGATGGGCAGCAGCATCTTTCTGATAACAGCAAACAGCAATAAAAAAGCGGTTGCCAACCCGCTCGCCAAGCGTGGCAACTATGGCAATAAACCCCCCATGAGCAACGACACAAATAAACGCCCCCCACTATTCCTGGCTACGGTGGCGACCATGGTAACGACGGGGCAGGGGGTTCTAAGAATTGCCAGTGGAGGTACGTACGTAGTACTATACTACTTATTCTGTACTTATTCTACTTATACTGGACTACTTATTCTGTGGTGGAGGTTCGGATGGCACATAAGACGACTCGACCTGGCAACATATAAAACACGCACCCTGAGGACTGACGAGAAGATCCCGGAACTGGAAAAAGAGATAGACAAGTTACGCTGCGATATTATAAGATTATCTGAGGTCCGAAGAGAGGGAGACACGGTAATCCTCGAATCCAGCATCTTGTCCTATCACCGGGAGGGCAACCATCTGTCCCAAGGAGGTGTTGGATTTATCGTCCATGTGTCTCTCGTTAACAACATTGTAAAGCTTGGGAGTGTATTCACGAGGGTTGCGTACCTTATACTCAGAATAACCAAACGGTATTCGCTGGAGGTCATACAGGTTTACGTACCAACCTCGGTACATCCCGATGAGAAGTTGGAGGAAATGTATGAGGATACGGTGTTAATGGAAGACTTCAACGCAAAACTAGGCACAATAGAGAACGATGAGCTTAAAGTAGGGAAATTCGGAATAGGGTAACGAAACCCAAGGGACCAGCAGCCGGACGACTTTATGGAGAAAGATGGACTCTTTATGATGAACTCTTTCTTTCAAATGCCGCATACAAAAAAGGAGACCTAGTCGAGCCCCGACGGTTCGACAAAAAATAAGACTGACTTCATTATGTCGACCGGACGACAATAACTGGTCAGTGTTGATTCAGTGATCGCAAGGGTGAAAACTGGCAGCGATCACCGAATTGTGAGAGTCACACTGAACCTAAACGTAAGGTTGGAGAGGTCACGTCTAATGAAGTCAACACTCCGTCCCCCTCGTGCTCTAATCCAAAGTCCCGAAAACTTGCAGCTCAAGTTGCAAAATCGTTTTCAGTGGCTAGAAAATTGCAATGAAGTGGACGATATAAATGACAAGCTAGTGGAAACTGACCATACGGTCGAAGCTAAGTTCTGTAAGACCCGTCGCAGAAGAACACAAAAACTCTTCGATCACACTTTAAATCTCATGGCTGTTAGACGGGAGATGAAGTTACGGTCATCAGCAGATTTGACAACATACAGGAAACTGAACAGACAGATCTTCGAATGCATGCGGCGGGACTCTCATATTGAAGAAACTCATATTGAAGAAGTGCTTGAGCGGAACCAGGGCTCCAAAATCTTTACTAGAGATCTGTTTGCCAGAAATAGGCCCACTGTCAAAGCTGAAGACCAAACGTGGCAGCATCGTTTCTGGGACATCTGAGATTCTGAGTGAGATTGAGAGGTTCTATGGGCAGCTGTACATATCATCGTTGTGTGGCTTCAACGATGATATGGAGCCACACGCAAGTGTGAGTAACGATACAAGAGCAAGTCTTATCCGACACTATTCCAATGATATCCCGGACGTCAGTCTAAACGAAATTACAATGGCTCTCCAGCACCTTAAAAACCTCGGGCGAGGATGGAATTACAGCGCAGCTTCTGAAAGTGGGTGGAAAACTGATACTTAAAGACCTTCAGAAACTCAATTCTGCCCTCCATGGTGGCACTACTCCGGAGGCGTGGAGAAGAAGTGTGGTGATCTTGTTCTTCAAGAAAGGCGACAATGCTCTCTTGAAGTACTACAGACCGATTTCCCTTTTGAGCCGCGTGTACATACTGTTTTCGAGATTCATTACTCCCGAACAAGCCAGTTTCCGAAAAGGCTTCAGTACCGTAGACCAAATAGATACCCTTAGGCAAATTGTGCAGAAGTCCGAAGAGTACATTCTGCCAATTTGCCTTGCGTATGTAGACTATGAAAAAGCCTTTGATTCCGTCGAAATTTGGGCGGTGCTGCTGCCCCTTCAGAGGTGTCAAGGGGACTGTCGGTATATCGAAGTACTGAAGTTTTTGTACAGTAGCGCTACGACGGCTATCCGAGTACAGAACCCGAGTACGAAACCTATCAAACTGCAGAGACGTCTAAGACAGGGTGACGTAATATCCCCGAAACTCTTCACTTTTCGACGTTTTCAAGCTAAGGAAAGGATAAGTTATTAACGTCAATGTCGAGTATATCACTCTCCTTCGATTTGCCGACGATATAGTCCTTATGGCAGAATTGCTGGAGGACCTAAACACTATGCTTATTGATCTCAATAGTGTCTCCCAACGGATAGGTCTTAAGATGAACAGGGACAAAACGAAAGTCATGTGTAAAATCCACGTCACACCCTTGCCGGTGGTTGTTGGGAGCACTAAGCTAGAAGTTGTTGACGAGTATGTTTACCTGGGACAAGTAGTCCAACTAGGTAAGTTCAACTTCGACCGTGAGGTCAATTGACGGATTCAACTCGCCTGGGCAACGTTGGGTAGATTTGTCAGGCATATCTCAAAATCTCAGAACTAGATTGTACAACCAGTGCGTGTTGCCTGCGATGACCTATGGATCTGAGACATCATCCTTCACTGCCAGCCCTATGACGAAGCTCAAAGTTGCTCAGCGAGCTATGGATTTGATATATACTGTGTTCGGAGTTTTTCTGCATGATAAACTTAGAAATGAAGATATCCGCAGTAGAAACAGAGTAACCGACATAGCCTAACAGATTAGTAAACTGAAGTGGCAATGCGCCTGCCACGTATCTCGAAGAAACGATAACCGATGGGGTAAAAAGGTTCTCGAGTAGCAGCCTCGTACCGGCAGGCGAAATGTAGGGCGTCCCCCCACAATATGGAGTGACGACCTGGTAAGAAATGCAGGAAGTCGGTGGGTGCAGGTGGCTCAGGACCGTGCTTTGTGGCGTTCCTTGGGGGATGCCTATGTTCAGCAGTGGACTGGTGAAGTGCCGTAATGATGATGATGATTATTGTTATTTTTCTTTCACTGCGTAAAAAATCCATTAACCATTTAATTCCGTAGATGACATCAGAGGCGCTAAAGGGTAACTGAAACAGGAAATGGGCAGCAGCATTTTCCTGATAACCAGCTTGCCAAGCGTGGTACCTATGGCATAATCCTCCCTATGAGGTAATGGGGGGGGCCTAAATTCTACATTGGACTTTTGATAGGCCATAATGAATGAACAGAACTTTTTTAAATTTTATTTGCCTATTACAAGAAGGTTATGTTTTATATTTTTATGGCTTTCACCACCGTTTTGAAAGGCATTCTATTTCATTCATGCTATTTCTTTACATGAGGTAACTTGATTTTGGATAAATGAACTTAATGATTTCTTAAATTTACGCGAATACTACACATTGAATAAAACTTTAATTACAACTATAATTTATTTTTACTATCCCGACGTTTCGGGTGCTTTACAGCACCCATGGTCACGGAGAGGACTGAGATGTTTGACGTCCCAATGTCATAGTTAATCCGGCTACCATCAGTTTTTTTTTTATATTAATTTCTGGTCCGATTTACGCAAAACGAACTTATAGTATCATGAAGTCTTGCAGTGGTATGCTTGGGTTTGGGTTTAATTTTGTTAATTATAGGATGCCAAGCAGATGGCAGCACCCATCCATCTTCTCTATTGAAATTTGGATGTTTTTTAATTTCAATAGCCTTGCGTATCATCCTTGGTAGGAATCGGTGTTCTTTTGCGAGAATTTGTGGTTTATCAAATCTAATGTAACGGTGGGGACGATCTTGAACTTGTTCCCAGGCTGCAGACTTCCCGGAGCGTCGGTGCTTCACGTCAGCTATATGTCCTCTGAAGTCTGCAGCCTAATAATTCTATGGTTTTAATAATATGTAAATGTCATAAGTTCCTTTTATTTCTAATAGTCTACTCCATCTGCCACTACTATACTAATTTTCATCACAGTGTGTCCGTAGTATGAAAAACCAATCCAGCCTTAATAATATTTTAGTGCACCAAGCAGAATTTACCAAAGGTATGTTCCGAAATATTTTCAGTATACTGCCGAATACAAATGACGTCATCAATTGACACTATATTGTACTGGCGTGCCGCCGCCATATTGTGTCGGATATCCGGCCATAATAAAACAATTTTTAATTGTGTGTGCGGTGAATGAAGCATGCCAGAATTTGTTTTTATTTATTCAAATGCAAAAAATTATAGAATAATTGCTGGTATCTCGATTAGGAAGATATAATGATTTTTGAAGCACAACATGACAAAATAATCGCCAACACTTTTCCAATATGGCACAAACGTATGACGTTATATACTGTCCTATGTTTTGGAACGAATCACCAGTATAGCGTCGATTCATGACGTAATTTGAATTTGACAGTACACTGGGTTCTATTTCGGAACATACCCCAAAACTTAACGCTTGCGGAATCACTTCGGTGTCTCTGTTCAGCTGTCTTGCTTGCCTATCACAGATGTTTTTTTTTCTGAAACGCTTACCCCGATACAGGGTACAGGCATGCAATTACAAATATAATTTAATACGGTTAGTTATGTGAGGTAAAAAGAAAGTTGAAAAAATATATTTTTGAGATCATTAATATAATGGGGTACAACCAAAAGTTCTGTAAAACGTTTTCTTAAGAATGAATTAAAATAATGGACATAAATTCGCCTCTCGTCGAAATTTCCTTTATAAAAGACACCAAAACTCAAATAAAAATTCGAGATAAAATAAACATAAGTACGTAAGGGACATCTACCCAAATGGGTCTGTTGAGTATGAAGGCTATAGCTATATTGCTCCAATATTATATTTTTATTTGCATGTGTATTAAATTACTATTTTGTTCCTATAGGCATATAAACATCCAGAATGGCGCGGCCCCTGGCTCGGCCCTAGGCCCGCTGAGGAGAACCGACGAGAGTTCAGTGAGGATGTGCTCCGTGCCGGTGAAACTGTAATAGGTCTGCAAGCGGGCACTAATAAATTAGCTAGTCAGTCTGGACAGAACTTCGGTGCGTCTCGGAAAATAATTCTTGGCAAGTGAATAGCGCTTAAGAAACATGATTTTTGTATTTCATTTATAAGATAAGAAATAGGTAGTTATTTTCATTTATGTTTGTAAATTGCATTGCATCACTTTTATATATTTAATAACAGTTTTTATATTTTACTTGATCTTATATTCCAAATTTAAGAAATGTTCGTTTTTGACAACAATAAAATAGCGAAAAACAAATGTAAATTTTAAATATTACTTTGTCATCTTATCAATTTATTCAAAAATACTTCAGCTGTGATTTTATGAATAATTACAATAATATTATTTTATAGAATTCATTATTTTTTACTTGAGTAGAGTTTTATTAATTATGTTAAATGTATTAAATTAATCACTGTGCTAAATTTATTTTTAATAAACAATTTTTAAACAAAGGCTAATGTGTTCGTCTAATTAAAATTTTTATTTCAAGAATACTGAATGGATTTCATAAACACTCCTTTCACAAATTGGTCCAAAAGTAGGTCTTGGCCTCGCCTCTTGAACACGTAACTTGACTCTATCCTGCGTCAGCTCCACCCGGTTGCTCCATGATAACTTGGATCGACTAACTGGATGTCGCCAGAAACTGTATTTTAACATACCCTTGCTACGATCGAGAACTGAGTCGTGTTTTAACCGAGCCGGTCGGTGATGAAACGAAACATCGTGCAGAAACCGGCATGTCTCATGGACGCCACACACGGTCAGTTAAAATGATCAGTTGAACTGACGTACATCCTAAAACTGACCGTGAGTGTAGAATCTTAAGTTGAAATTTTCAACTGACGACAACCCACGGATTTTTTCCGTCGCACTGTCAGTTGAAACTGCTCAGTCGAACTGACGTAAATCTAAAAACTGATCATGAGTGCGAAATATTTTAACTGATGGCACTCCACGAAGTTTTCCGGGCGCGCTGTAATCCGCTGGTTCCTGTTCGTTTTAATTACTGGTAAGTACCTACTTTCTTAGTAGTTACATACATTATTTCTATGCTATTTAGATTTTTTATGTTATTATATGTCACTGAGAGCCTATACCCACCTTCGGAGTTCACCATCAGCTAGGTGATATCATCATAGTCATCTAGGTCTTCATGAACCTTTTTGAAAATGAGTTGAAAAAAAACACGATGGTTCTACGTAGCATCACTAAGATCCTTCACCCGTCTTCTGAGTCAATTAAGTCAAAAATATTGACTCAGAAGATAGAAGGATCTTAGTGATGCTACGTAGAACAATCGTGTTTTTTTTTCAACTCATTTTCAAAAAGGTTCATGAAGACCTAGATGACTATGATGATATCACCTAGTTGATGGTGGACTCCGAAGGTGAGTATAGGCTCTCAGTGACGCCATTAGATAGGACTGTTAGATGTTTGAACTCATTTGAAATGGCTCATAAAGACATAGGTGACTGTTATGATCTCACCTTTCTGATGGTGCAATTTAAAGGTGTGTATAAGATCTCAGTGACGGCACTATTTTTATATTTTTATTATTATTAATTTATAGGAGTGACACTTCAAAAATTTTTTTAAAAATTTAGAGGAAGAAAACACAAAAAAAATAAAGAAAACTAAACTAAATATAGTGTACCTATATGTGTTATGTAACTTAATACAATACGATAAATTTATTTTTTTTGTAAAACTCAACATATTTGATTATCAAACAAATCAAATAATTATCGTATTGATTCTAGACTATTTTTATTTTCTTTTAAAAACGTTACCTCCCCCCCCCCCCCCCCACACACACACACACACACTAGGAATTTCTGCTGTATTGTGGAGGTAGTTTATAAACATTGCACAAGGACAAACATCCAGACCCGTAACAATTATTTGTAGACCATACCAATACTTATTCTGTGCGGAATTCGAACCCGCGGCCCCCAGCGCAGCAACTCATCGCTAAGCCACTGCGCCACGGAGCTTGTTTATTTTATCATTTTTGTACAATCTTATGCTGGGGCCACACTAACGTGAAATGCCGTTAATTATCGCCTTGATGAACGTTGAATGTAGGTGTAACCACGACTTAACGCGTTAATTTGACAATAACATTAACAATGCCGTTTGCCGTTTAGGGATAACTCGAGTAGCGGTACATCAAAGAGATTAACGCACGAAATAACACGTCGAAGCGGCCACACTTCGTTTGTCTGACTGTGCTCGATGAGCGCAACAAGGTCGCACGTATGGCTATGATGGAGCGGAATAATAAAAAAGTTATTACGTTTCTTAAGATTCTGCAAACAGAGCCATGTTTGTGGGATCTGAGACTCAAAAGTTTTAAGAATCGTACGGCGCAAAATGATGCTTTGCGACGAAATATCCAATCATTATCTTTTAATACAACATCGAAGAATTAGAAAGGCGAAGGAAAACCTAATGGGTTTTTCAACATGTCATTTTTAACAAATATTAAAAGTTTTCAAGGAATGTTAATGCCAATTTTAATGCCGTTCAATGGCATTGTAATTTAATGACATGGAGCGTTCAAGTGTAGCCAACTTCGTTTATAGGCATTGACGTTTCCCGTCAGTGTAGCACCAGCATTAGCGCGTTCGCTCGATGCTCGACGCAGGGGGCAGAGCCATTCCATCCCCGGTATAGTATCTAGATGTTAGTGCTGTTAGTCTATGCGACTCTTACAGCTTCATCTTGTCTCAGGGCTCGCGGCCTGCAAGGCCGCGAGCTAGTAGGGGTATATGTGTTCTGTGCATTCCATGGTCGCGCGGTGGGCTAAGCGTTAAAATATACTCACATTTTCTTTATTTATTTATAATATCGACTGTCGATATTTTTTTCAATAAAACGTTTTAATTTTTTATTTTCTCTCGTAATCATTTAATCTACTACTACCCAATCTTTTGTACTTTATTTTATTCTATTAATTTTCCCCATTTTATTTATTTGCTTATTATCTTAAAAATAAATGTAATTTCGTATAATATATCTCTGTGGTATTAAAATTGCTACAATCTACGAAATTTATAATTACTAACTGTGTATTTTAACGGGAACTTGACCGTCGACGGATTTTTGCTTCTATTTTATCGCTTAAATAATGGTTTGAAGTGGATTTTGATTCATAAAAGTGATGCAATTTTGTAATTTAAGTATCTGCGCGTGTAAACTATTAGAGAAAACGACGAAACAAGTGCCTCGATGTTGACATTCCTTGTCCAGGTGAAAAACCTGTAGTGTTCAAATTATTGTTGCAGCTTTGTGAGTTGAAAACAACTCTGGCATTTTGTCTTCGCCAGGCTAGTGCAACTTCCATAGTAAAAATTATATGCACTAAACGTACGTATGTATGTAATTACTCTAACGGTGCCTCTACACGTTGGCCAACACAGTGGCGAATGTAGGGGCCAATAGCATTGGCCAACGTGTAGAGCGGGTGTTTGGGCTTCATTGGTGTGTATTGGAACGATGGCCCACAAGTTTGCGTGAGATCCGTGTGGTGTCTCGGTTTTTTACAAAAGATCAAAGGATTGTTGGCAGAGTTTGGTCGCCGCGTCCACACGTTGGGCGCGCGTTTAGTTTGATACAAGCTCCCAGAGTGATTACACGCATCTGATTTAAATTTTATATTCACGCTTTGTAGGGTGGATGCCCCAATTACCAGCCTTTTAGTACCAATTTCAACTTTAAACATTCCTACTACTTTAATTAGCGCGATTTAATTATTTTTAAACATTTGTTTTAATCGATAAGCTATTTATCAAAAATAAATACTTAATGAATATTTATTTACAATCAGATTATTACGAGAACAATTTTAAAATGAAAAAAAAAAATATGAAGCACGTCGTGGTACGTGGTAGAACCATGCAGTTATATTAGAAGTATAGTTGTAGCACGAATGGGTCGGCTCGACCGGGGAAGGACCACGCTCTCACATAATATCAGCGTAAAATAGTAGTTTAATGCTGCTGTGTTTCGTATAGTGAGTGTAGAGAACCAGAGACCCTTTTTAAAGGAAACGAGGCATTTCATCTTAGTCCTCACGGGTGACAACGCATCTGCATTTTGATTCGTAATCGAGGATTGATGTAGATGTCTGTGGGCCACAGTAACCACTTACCATCAGGTGAACTGTGTGCTCGTTTGTCACCCTATCCTATAAAAAAACTTCGATTTCTTATAATTTAATCGTGCAAGTTTTCGAATCATCATCATCATTACAGCTGTTCACAAGTCCACAACTGAACATCCTCCTCCACAGACTGCCGCAAAGCACGGTCCTGAGCCACTTTGCTCGTCATGAGTTTTTCATTTATGTTCTAAGTTATAATTAGTACCTATTATTAAGTCAGTGTTAATTATACTTATTGCTATTGTTTTTGTCTTTCTCAAAAAATAATTAAATTACCAAATAAATTAGAAAAGCAAGTACATGTTTTGCTAAACTTTAAAATCAAAACCCAATTTTAAAACATAGACTAATCGATTATAACTCCTTTAACTTTAAAATAAGTTAAGTTCTTATTAATGGTATTTATTCCAGTTTATGATGCATGTAAATAATAAATAAAGCTAATCGTATATCGTATATCTATTTATAGCCCCATTAATATCCACTATTCTTTTATAATTATTTTATAAAAACGTTACCCACACACTTGGATTTTCTCCTGTATCGCGGAGGCAGCTTACAAACATAAATTGCACAATGACACACATCCAGACCCGAAACAATTATTTGTAGGATATATACAAGTATATACAAATACTTGTTCCGTGCGGGATTCAAACCCGCGGCCCCTGGCACAGCCACTCATTGCTAAGCCACTGCGCCACGGAGCCGACGTCTAAAATAAAATAAATTCATCCGCACATTGGCCCGAACCGAAATAAACTGAACGACCTTCAGGGTTGGCGTTCTCTTAAATTTTAAAGTCCCTAGACTAACAGAAAAAATCCGCCAGAAACAGCATTTTTCTTTTTCTTAAAATCCGCTAGATGTCCCTAGGTATATTGTCGTGCTACTA